GGGGGGGGGGGGGGGGGGGGGGGGGGTTCGGGAGAGGGTTGAAGGGGGGCTTACTTGCCGCCGACGCACTTTGCGTAGAGGTCCGAGGGGACACGTGCGTCGAGGTAGGCGGCGAGCTTTTCGATGGGCGTCCAGGAGATGTAGCCCTGGCTGTCGGCGATGTCCTTGGCGGTGGTCTTGATGGGTTTGGCGTCCTTGAGCACACGCACGTACATGCCCTGGGTAGTCTTGTACACCTCGAACACGATCTCGGAGCCCAGGGCGGGCCACTTGAATGCACCGTCCAGCGCGAGCGTCTTGTACAGTCGGACCATGGTACCATCGTGGCCGATGTAGTACTTGAGCTTACGGTGGTCCTGACCGTTCTTGAGCATGTGCAAGTTGCGGGCGAGCTCCTGGGTGAAGACGCCGAAGCCGTAGCGGACATACGCGTCGGCGGAGGGGGACGAATTCCAGATCCAGTCGTACTCCCAGTGTCCCTCAGCGTAGGCCTTGTTAGCGAGGTCCTGCGAGATTGTGATGCCCGTAGAGGTGTTGGTGGGAAGCGGGTGGTTGTGGCACTGACGCGAAGCCATGGCGTCAAAGTGGTGGTCGATCCAGCTGTTCCATCCGCTGCTGTTGGCAGTGCCGACGACGGCGTTGAGCTGCTTGAACAGGTCGGCCTGGCCGGCAAGGTGGCTCGTCCACGTCGGGTGCGAGTTGGCTGCGCTGCGCTGCGTGTCGGCGTAGGCGCACGAGTAGTTGGGCACGATGTCGTCCAGGTTGCTCGGCATGGTGTGCACGGGGAACTTGTCACCCTGCACACCCATACCTGCAAGCAGACCACCGGCGACCTGGTAGGTGCGATCGCTGTTGCTCGTGCGGATGTACACATCCTCCTCGTTCACACCACGGCGAAGCAGCGGGTTCTTGCCCTGAGGACCGTAGACCGAGTAGAAGTCCTTGCCGTGCTGGATCGAGTCGCGCAGTCCGTCGGCGCTGAGCATACCCGCGTCGCACGTGCCGTTCCACAGCAGCGAGCGCAGAGGATGCCACGTGGGGTTCTGGATCTTGCGGTACATGGCGTGCCCCTGGGCTCCGGCAGCATCACGTGCACCAACACCGTACGAAACCTGCTGGTAGTTGGAGCAGTCCCAGCCAGATGCGGGGTTGAGTGCGTTCTCGTTCGGGTAGAGGTTGTCCGGTGTGCGCTTGTGGTGGCGCTGCACAACGCTCACGTAGACGAGCGTGGCGTTCTTCGCCTCGGGCGCGGCGGTGTAGTGCTTGGCCTTGACGTGCGGCGCATTGCAGTAGTCTAAGGCCAGCCCTCAAATGTCAGCGTCCATCCGACACTCCTTGGTAAAAGCGGGCGAGACTTACTGTAGGTGTCCCAGGGGAGACCGGCGGGGGGGATGCTCGAGTTGAACACACCAGGAAAGACAGAGACGTTCGACATGGTTGGCTGAGCTGCGTGGAGAGCGAGTTGATGATTCATGCCTCCCATCCTTCCCAACCCGGGGTGGTTATATACGCCTCCTTATCGCCTCATGTGAGTACAGCATGAAAGTGAAAGCGGTTCCTAACCCTCACCCCGGGGGGGAAGGGGGCAGGGGGAAGCAAGGATGCAACGTGGACCAAGCGAGCTGCATCTCGAAGCGGCCTCTTGTTTCAGCCAGTCGAATGACACTACCGAACGTGCGCGTTCTGCAGCAGCTGTCCTGGACGGCGTGGACGATTGACCGGTGTCGAAAAAAAGGACGGAAAGCTTTCAGCCCAAAAAGGTCGCCGATGCATGCGCTCAAAAACGTGCGCCTGCGGGGCGATCAATTCCGACGCTCCAACCGGCCATCTCGCCCATCCCAATCGGTCCGAGCTCGGCCAACCTGCTGCACACGCGCACACGTTCCCTGCCTACCACTGTGTAAAACGAGGGTATCAAATTGCCATTCAAGCCTAGGAAGACGTGGCCGGCGGTTGGGGCTGGTAGTGGTCGTCTTCAAACTCCTCATCCGTGAGGTGTTCCTGCAGATCGATGCCGGCATGTTTGCCACCGAGACCACGGCGCTTTGCAAAGTGCCATCCGTCCGAATACGGCGGCACACGCACAGGCAAGAGCACCGTATACCATACACTTTTTACCGCAAAACCCAAAAAACGTGTCAGCTTCTCAACTTCAACGTGCCAAGGTGCAAGGGTCGAGGGTTGGTGGTCGGAGTATGAGCTTACTAGGGTGAATCCGGACCGATGTTGAAGAAGAGCTGCAGATTGCGTCGCCAGCCGACGTCGTAGACGTTGATGAACTCGACGCCGCGCTTGCTCGCCAGCTCGCGGTAGTGCGCTACAGCCCAAAAACCATCAGGTCAGTCATCATCAAAGTAGGAGGAAATTGAAGGGGGTTGACTTACTGTTGTCTTGTGATTCGACGCTAGTTTCACCGCGCGCGACGAGGATGAGTTGCCAGGCAGCCATGACGCCGAGGGCGGCGCCCATGACGAGCGCGAGGACGAAGAGGAGCATGACGAGCACGCGCGGCGTATACGGATACGGCCAGTTGGCGCTCCAGCTCAGACTGGAGCGCATGACGTTCCAGCCGGAAAAGAGCACCACGCCGCATCCCGTGCTGAGCCACGCCATGAACAGCACAAAGTAGCGCTCGTTGCCCAGCCCCACGCACTGGTTGAGCCAGGGACAGTGGTGGTCGAACTTGAGCGTGCACGTCTTGCACGTCCTACAGTGGTGGGCACGTTCGGGCTTGGGCGGCGCCACGAGCTTCTCGGCGGCCGCATCGCCGAGCCAGGCGCGCACCTCGGCCTCGCCCTCATCGACGTCTTCGGGCGCGAGCTTCGAGGTGAAGGTCTGCGAGGGTGGCGCGGTGCGCAGCTGCTTTTCGACCTTCCGCAGCTCGGGCGGGAGCACGGCGAGCGCACGGACGAGAGGGATGGTGGTGCACTTGCGACACATGCCTGCGAGCGGGAACACGTCCTCATCGTCCTGGTCCACCTCTTCCGCATCCGTGTCTGCGTCTGCGTCGAGGCCGTGCTTGGTTAGCGGCGGGAAGAGCGGGTTGGACGAGGGTTCCACGTCGGCCAGAATGGCAGGCGAGGCGACCATGGGGTTGACGTCGTGGATGGAGAGCGGCAGGTCGTTGCGAGGGATGCGCGGGGTGCCTGCTTCGCTGCTGGACGAGGAGCGATGGGACGACGAGAGCGAGGCGCCCACGACGGGCGGGGGACGTTCGGACGACGAGCGCGATGCGGTGACGGATGCGGACCTGGCCCTGTTGGTGTCGAGCCCGTCGAGCGCCTTGTTGAGCTTCCTCAGATCCGCCACGGACGACACTCTCACAGGCGCGGCCGGCTCTGGCGGGCCATGCGTGACGAGCTCGGGATGGGTCGAGTCGAGATGCGCGAGCTTGGGACCCGATGCGCGCGCCGCCCTCGCCCGATACCTTGCCCACCAGATGCTGCTTCCCGGCCCACTCCTACGCTCCGGCACAGCATCGCCCAGCCCGTCGCACACAGTGCCCGGAGAGACGGTGCAGGCCATGTAGTAGTGCCACCCGATGCTGTAGACGATGTACAGGCACGCCATGAGCGAGACAAAGAAGCGGAGGGTGGCGAGCGGGTCCTTGACGGCCGAGTCGAACAGCGTGGGCACGAGGCCGAGCGCAATGTGTGCGGGCGAGTAGGTGTGGAGCAGATTGGCGAGTTCGGGTGGGAGCGGTGCGAGCTCGAGGAACATTGTGCTGAAGAACGTCCATATGCCGCCAATGACGAGTGTGAGGCAGATGGCGATGAATACCGGCCCCGCCGCGCCCGTGAGCCAGTCGGCGGCGCGCTCTACGTTGCGAAAGGAGGCATGGACGAGTTGCGCGATTGCGCGCATTTTGGACGCTTGACAGATTCAAAAAGAGAGAGACGAGAGTGGCGGAGAGACGAGCATGCACTTGAGACCAACGGAAAGAGTAGCGACAGTGTAGCGACAGTGTAGCGACAGTGTAGCGACAGTG